CCAGGAGGCGATTCAGAGACCCCGTGGGGCCCAGCTCAGCCATCCCAACGTACCCTCTAAAAGGGAATGAAGCTCAATTTGTGTATTTCGGTTGCTCCATCAAGAGTGAGAATAGGCCTCTCTGTTCTTAACGCATTGCGGGATCAAACGCAAGGCGGAGCACCTCGCTGGCAAGCCTTTCAGGCCCCAGACCCAGCCAGGAGAGTGCGCATCCTTACGCTTGGATTCCGAGCACTTTTGGGTCACTCGAATGGGTATCCACGCATATCCACCAAGACAGTTGTTTCCCAGCCATGACCACAACATCAGGTCAGTAAGTGTTTGCATTGCCACCTTCCCCTACTTCATCCTTGGAAAGAAAAAAAAAGAGTGCCCAGCCATCAACCTTTTTCAGACAGGGAGCTACCTACACACTCGGTCTCTGCCTACATGCCAACCCTGATTGCGTGGGTACCTGGCTAGGAGCAAGCGCTTGACTTACTACAGCCTCCTGGAGTGCTCTGGGATCTTTGCCTCTCCCACGCCGTACTGTACCCCGGTACTGGCTGTAGCCACCACAGCACCTCTAAACCAGCCTTCGAGCTACCCCAAAATATCCAAGTGATTCTTTCAAATTGAGATTTCAGAAGACATTGTTTGCAGCTGGCTGCTCGGCCGCCCCTAAAGGCCTTCACCAGTGCTCAGTCAACCCACAGGACCCGGTGCTCGTTCCTGAACTGCTGGGGACGTTCGCCCCCCACCTCTGTATAAGGTATCAGAGGAGCAATCCCACCCCATAGCGCTTTAAACAGCAGTTTCAAGGCAGCTGAAGCAGGGGTAATAAAAATATCTATTTATCAAGTCCTACTAGGACCTTCCACAGTTTAAAATAGAAATTACACTGCAAGTCTCTCTCTACCATAGTTAAGGCATTTTCTGCACCGCCTATTCACCAGCTAAAATAAAGTCCCCTTTGTGTTTTGGCTGTCACCTGTTAGAATGCCATCTGCCATCAGGTCCTGGATTCTGTTAATTGCATCCTTTTCAGAAGGGAAAGAGGAATAACAAATTGATCAAGAGGAAGGCAAAAAGCATTTCACACATTCGGATAAACTACAGATGGAGGCTTACATTTAATTCCTCAGCGTTAAAGACTTCAGTGAAGGATACACATCGGTATTTCCACACAGATAGATGCAGCAAGGCCTCAGAAGGCTGAAGTGCGCTTCTGCAATTTTGGAGTGTTCAAATAACTTCTCTATCCCCCAAAAGAGACTTTAATTGCTACGTTAGCTGTCAGGTTTATGGAAGTGGGGTGGTTATACACATCTTCCCAGGGCAAAGCTGTACAGCGCCAATGCAACGTGCAAGTTCCATGAAATACACTGAGGTACTTCTCCAAGAACCTGGCTACACTCAATACATTCCAGAGCTTTTTCTGTTTTTTCCTGCTCTGTTTAAGAGGAAACCCCTTTTTGCCAATCCAATGAACAACTTGTTGAATTTATTGCTGCGTTAACTCTATAGTTACCCCATAGTTCCACTACCCCTTAAGCTAGTACACAAGCCCTGCTTTCCACAATTCTGTCTCTCTCCCTTTCTTGCCTTTATGTGACTGCAGAAGCAAGTTCTAGTTTAGATTTCAACCAGATGAATTCCCTTAACCAGCTCACTGCATGCTTAAATGAAGTTCTGGTTTAGGAGAAAGGCAGGGGCACAGCAGCCTACACCTACAGCAGGGTAAGCTACTGTGAAGGGGCACCCCAAGATCAGATGAGGTACAGAACAACAGAAAACATTGGTCATTTAGAAATATATGTCAAATGTGCTCAAATTAAAATAAGCCAAGCCACAACTATTCTTCAGAGTCAAAACATAAAATGTTTAGAGAACAGAAATAGGACAGAGGGTGAAAAAATAAAAAAGTACAGCTATCACACCATGAGCTCACTTTCACAGGCTTATATGGTGCTGAGAGGGACAATATTCTTAATTAATGCACCAGAAGATACAAATTAGGGTGGTCAAACAGCAGAACAGGCTTCCTAGAGAGGTGGTCGATGCCCCAAGCCTGTCAGCGTTGAAGAGGCGTTTGGACAACGCCCTTGATAACACATTTTGACTTTTGGTCAGCCCTGAAGGGGTCAGGAAGTTGGACTAGGTGATCGTTGTAGGTCCCTTCCAACTGAAATATTCTATAATTCTTAAATGTTCTAAGAATACACAAGCAATTGGAGCAAAATCACCCCATCTACTGATTGTCTGCAAACATAAGAATGTTGTCCAATTACGCAGGCAGTGCCTGAATGTGGCTGAGCTCTGCTTTTGGTTCCCAAGTACCCTGAACTGCTCTATTACCAGATCTGCAAACACGACAGGATCCATTCGCCAACCGGCAGCTGTGCAGGAGGCAGACCGAGCACTTTTCGCTGAAACAATCCTGTAAGCCAACAATCCTTCACTGGCTGGCTGGTACTTTGATGAATGGCCACATTTTTAGGGCTGATTTTGCTGAACTTCACCAAAATCCAAGCATTTTCAGTAATGCTGAGACACCTGCATAGATGTTACCCTCATTTACCCACTTTCCCATCCTTTTAAACTCATTGCTTGTGCTTGCACCTCAAAAGTAGTACTTACCTGTGTCCTTAAACCCAAATGTGAAGCCAAGTCCTCCAGCTGGATTACCTTTGTTTTCTATGGAAACAAACAAGAGTTAAATGCAGCTGATGAATTAGAGGGTTAGCTTATTTCTTTTTCTTTCAAATAAAAAAAAAAAATTTAATAGACAAAGTAGAACCTGCCATTTTAACTAACTTTTCCTAGTAAGCACTTTTCTCTGATGAAAAACCCTAACCTAAGTTACTTAAACCACTCTGCTCTGTGGAAAGACTGGGTGCTCTGACCCACTTCAGTGAAGACTCAAATGTATTTGCCAGTGTTTGCCCTGAACCCTTCCTCGTGTCGGGAGGACAGCGTGAGCACAAGCACAATAAACAGCCACGGCTCCGCTCTCCCTGCCACCTGAGCTTCTCAACTGCTACCTTTAATTTCCAGTATGCTTTAGCAAGGTCCCTTTTCTGTTTGAGAGATGTTTCAAAGTACATTTTGAAATGATCACTGGTATGTATCAGTGCATACATAAAAATCCAGACAAGACTGGCAGCATTAAGTGCTTTAGTCTGTTCTACTAATGTCGTGTGTATTAATGCCACCATAATCTTCCTAAGCAAGTGAACACCTTATTAAAATTGTCAGTGCTGGCAGCGTACTGCTCGCGCGCTCCTACGCAGGCAGCACGATGATCTCTGAGGACAAAGGCAGAAGCAGGAACTGCAAGTTTTCGGTTTGCTTTTGAAAGAGATTCTTACTGCAGCCTCTCTCAGGCAGGACGCAGTCACCACTGCTCACATCTGGTTTTATGCTTCTCTGTAGCTCCAGAGAATACACCTGGTGCACTCGTCTGGAGCTACTTGGTTCCTGTTTTCTTATCTGCAAAAGTTTTACAAACTCATCTGTTTAGATGCAGTAAAAGGATGCACTCTTTATAAGGAATTTGGAAAAATAGAAAACTTTTGGAAACTGTTCGGTTAACATTCCAGACTACATCCCTAACAGCCATATACGTACAAGAGCTACATTTACATTATCAGAGGCAATACTTCAAACGAGAAATGCATTTGTTTCTGATCCTGAAAGTACACTGGAAGGGCACTGAAGAAATAAAGAGAGGCTGAAATAGATGAATCTTTTTCGTTAATAGCATCAGACCAAAAAAAGCCATGCACAGACTTAGTAGTTGTGAAGTTCGATGCAGCCAAGCTAGAGAACTGAATACCATGGACTGAACGCATGGAACTGGAACCAGTCCATGGAATTCAGTTCTCAGAGCTGGGAACTGCCAAGATTCGTCACATCTTCTTTTAAAAGGATGGGGGGCGGGGGAGGGTTGGTGCAAAGCCACATAAACGAGAAAAACAGGATTTAAACCTTCACTTTAAGATATTCACCCTCAATGACCAAGTTTACTGGAAGCCTTCCAGGATAGATCCTGCTGTGAATAAGAGCCCAGAGGGTGGGGTGGAATTAGGATGTACTCCCCACACACACTCTGAAATATAAGGACATTGTGAGGTCCCAAGCAAACAAAACACTTTACCACATGCTTCACATTTAAAAGACAGGCTTAACTTTCATAGGGCAAGATACACACATCTACACTTTACTGAATTCATTTAATTTTAGGTATGATTCTGCTGCTGTCCTCAGCAAAGGATGAAATGGAGTGAGAGCTCCCAGGATTAAGATGAGCAGCATTTTTTTTTTTTCCTTATCTTGCAAGCATCATTTTTCTTAAAGAAAAAAAACAGGAAGGGGTAAAGGCTCCCGAGTCCTTCACTATCCCTTTAAAATGTAGTGAAAATGGAGTTCGCTGTTTCACTCCACGGGCTGTAATTCAGATGAATTCAATTATCACCGAGATAATTTGTCCAGTTTGATGGACAAAGCACAAGCTCCGATTTCCCTGGGCCACCAGAGCTGGTGCTCTGCAGCAAGGGAACCGCTCAGCCACTCTTCCACCTCTGCCCACTTCACTGTTAATTTATTTTTTAAGTGCTCAGAGAGCCCACAGAGCTGGTTTGTAAGGTGTGGTGCGCAGCTACAGCCCTGTTGAGTAAAACCCTAAGGCTCCCGTTAAGAATGGGTTATTCTGCTTCTCTGAGAGCAGAGCGGTCAGCTCTGTCGCTTGAGGACCAGCCACCATAAGAAGCAAAGGCACAGGACGGTGACTGCAGCAGAGACGATGCCACAGCCCAAGGTGCGAGGTGGTGATTCTGCAGCAGCCAGGCTGAGGGGCTACTATGAAGGCCCCGAAGGAAGGGAGATGCTTCAGAAAAGCAGAATTGGGGGGTGTGTGTGTGTGTGTGTGTGAATCCTTTTGGTGCCTTTGAGAAAAATCCCGTTTAAAACAATCCCACAAGGCAGAGCTGGAGAAAAGAGGCTGCATTTTATTTCAAACACCCTTCAGAACGAAGCATGGGGTGAGCTACCTCCAGCCAGTTATAGCAGTAAAATAAGTTATTCAACAAAAGAGCTAAATTAAATTTTCTTTTTTAAAATGCCAATCGCTCTTTTCATTTGTAAGTTTTTCAGACAGCTACTAGCAGCATAGCACTGCTTCTTGATATAAGTCAACGGTTTCTGTGAACAGAACAGAAGATGAGTGCTATACATAATCTATATATTAAGCATGCTTTCAAGATTAAAAAAAATAAATACTAAAACTTGTAAAAGAAAGCAATGCCCCAGTTCTGCAACTCATCTCTACATAGGAAGTCAGGTGTCAAAACGCTTCTGAATTAAGTTTTCAGCCCGTGCTTAATTTCTCTGACGTCAAGTAGCAGTGACTAATATAAAACTATACATATGGGCTTAAACGCCAAACTGAGAGTTTGTGACTAAACTGTTCCATCCATCACAACCACCAGGGCAAGGCGCAGAATCAGCCCCTACTGCGTATTCCCTTGGAAACCCTCCCAATTTTAGTGGAAGACCCCAAGGGACACTGAAATATCCTATTGTTCTACCTACTGTTATCCTAGGGCAGCTTGTTTAACAATAAAGAGCAGCACGTTTTCCTTAATCCACAGCTTGGCAGTATCTTGAAAGCCTTAGATGGGAACGGGCGAACTGGGATCACCATGCAGTCCCATTTCTACAGTTAGTAACTGAAACAGAGAGTGGTCTTAACAGACAGGGCCATTTCAAAGTTCCCTTTCAAAGAAATCTCTCGGGCTTCTGTGGAAAACAGCATATTGACCTCGCTGCATGGCTGCAAAGCGAAACGTGCCATCTGATGGTTCATCATCACTCCATGGTTTTACTTAGGCTCTTTAAACATGTCATGCATAGCTTTTCCAATCCACCCTCAGCTTCCTCATCCGCTTTTGGCAGCGCTTCTGGTCAGAGCCGACTGGCTTATGCGGGGGGCTTGGTTACTGAACAGGGGCTATTTTCATTTGGGCTGCAGCAACGAAGGTAAGCCCTAACTCCCAGTGCTACTAGCATTTCCAAAGCACCCCCAGAGATGACGTTGATCAGAAAGCTCTTGACAGATGCAAACCTAGCAGCCTCCCTCGCTGCGGCCCTACGGCAATGGGATACACCACCAGAAGTGCCAGTGACACGGGAGGCAGAGAGCAGCACAGCAAAAGATGCTCGCACCGTAGCTTTGCAGCGACTCTAGAACGATCAAGCCACTGTTCAGGCCTGCATGGCAATCACTCAGATTAACTTCTTGAGGAGAGTTACCCATGAGATAAATCTATTTGTAACTCTGGGGTTTTGCTGGGGCAATGGACATGCAAAACTGGCCCAGAGTTTGAGATTCTGGATTAACAAGATGATTAGGGCATCGCTAAGTATACAAGTGATTTGCTTACTAATGAAGCCTTTCACACACATGCCACACATTGTCAGCTAAGAGTCCAGTTTCCAGTAAAGGAGGAAAGGGATTCATTAGGACAAAAGATTTGCATAACACTGTTAGAGTAAGAGTAGAAAAATGCGTTTGACCTTTGATATACCAATAGTGGAGAAAGAAGCATTTGCCCTTAACAAATCAAAAGTGGAAAACCTCATGAACACACCACAGGTTTTAAATAACCAACCATAAAATATGATGAAAGGAAGACTAATGCACCCTGTTAAAAACAAGTGATACTCTCCTTAAATATCCCTTCCAGACATTAAGACAACATTGCAAATTGCACAGATAAAAACAAGAAAAAGAAAAGGCATGAAAAGTTGGATTGACCTTTATGATGCCAGTGTTTCAGACACAAACGCATCCTGCCAGTGCAGCAATTCTCATTCACGCTGAGCTGAGATGCAGAAACCGTTTGCTAAATCAGTAGCCGGTGTTCACACAGAAAAAGCCTGAATGTCCCAAATCTTAATCAGCAGCAAATGCCGCTGTTCATAAACCCTGAGGGTGATCCACCAGGCACAGAGTTTATAATGCCTGTACTTATGAAAGAGGGCAAGAGCTACCATCCCACCCCAAAAGCTGAGACAGCTGTAATTACAAACCACTTTGACGATGACGGACATGCTCATGCATGGCTAAGTAAATAATGCAGACTTTATCTAAGGTATCGCTTTTGTTACCTGTTGAATATTTAAGTAAATCAAAGAGGAAGTAAAGATTTCCCTTCTTTCTGCAACTCAGCTCTTCGACAAAGATATTTTACACAGCCTAACAAGTATGGAAGGAGGAGAAAGACCAATGGTAGCTTACCTTCACATATTCGAGAAATTCCATTAGAAAGCTGCGAGACTGGATATAGCAAGGACAACAATTGTTATTTTAAACTCACGAACATTAAATGCATCACAAACTTGACAAGTACAAATATTATAGAAGTGTTCAGCTTGCATACATCCAAAGTTTTCAACATACAAACTGAGGGAGATTTTGAACTGGAAAACCAAAGTATATATAGATTTAGTCTTACCCAGGAATTTATGATAGGTATTTTCTAAGACAGAACATGGCTCAAGTACAATTTGTGCTTAAGCATTTTGTGAAAGGAAATCTTTGACTCTTTCACTCTTCGCATCATACATAGCCTGAAATAACCACATCTGGGTGAGTTTGCGCATCGTGTGTTAAGTTACACATACCCACCGAGGACATTTTGTACAGAGGTACAGAGTGATTCAGGAGACGGCTCATGCAGATGGTCAAGTGCAGCCCACAGCTGCGCAACACATGTGGAAGCTCAAGCCGTTTTCAAAGCTAAGCACCTGAAATCCGACATTTTAATACAAGCGGCTCAATTTTCAAAGGCAATGCAAACAATGTGCATTGAAGTTAACAGGAGATCAAGTTACTCTGCAACCCTGGAAATCAATCAGCCTTAATTAACTGCTTAGCTCTGGACTCAGGACCTTAATTGTCAGCATGAGTTTCAGCAGGCTAGCCTCAACAGCACAGGGCAGTCAGCTGTTGTAAGGGGATCCTAAAATGCTTCAGTACCTTATCCTGCACAAGGCAGAAGGGTGGCTCGCCATTTCTGCAAGGCTGGTGTCTCCAAATAACTATGTACCTGTGATTGTTTCTAAAGATGACTTTCAAATCGCCTATATTAAAGTTCTACCTCCCCATTCCTACCAAAGATATCTCATGTTGAGATCCAGGCATCGTCAACTGCCTGCCAAGCTCTTCTGAGTGAGGAACACCCTTCTCTGTTCGCACATATAGAAAGATTAATTTCTCCTTCACAGGCTGGTGTAGGAACACAGGTAATAAACACATTCTAGCTTGAAAGGGTATCTAAAGTGGAACAATATTTAGGTATAATCTGGTCTTCTAACAGGACAGGCACACGTTTTTGAAGGAACTTTCAATAGAAAGTATGCATTTTGCTGTTCTCTGCATCTTAGGAAATTCCCCATCACCAGATACAACTTCTCTTGGTGTTAATCTCGGCATGATGGAGGAATTTATCTCAATGGGATGGGCTCCATAACGAGAACTTGTGATTAATGTCAAGTAGTATTGACTCACTACACACTCCTCAGCCCAAAGCCACTCTCAGTCACGCTAAGGGCAAATCCATTCAATTGAACAGGGTTGCTTTAGCAGAGGAGCAAATGCCCACATGGCGCTGAAAAAAAAAAAAATGCTTACCATGAAATGCATTGGACAGCTCAAATTTGGCAGCTACAGCCCAAGAGCAACTTCAGCAATAGCAATTAAAATTAGTCTAACAGGTTTTCAGCAGACAGAATAAGAACACTGCCTCCCACAACAGTGGAACTTTTTCAAGTTTGCTGTGATATTATGTCAAGCATCACATTTCAACCACCATCCCCAGCAGCGCGTCAGCAGGCAGCCACAGGAGGGGCGTGCTAGAACGTTACGCAGAGTTTGAAATACTATCGACCATAGCAATCATGTGCAATGCTGAATGTACAGTTTTCCACATACAACCCACAAGTACCTAGGCTGCGGTCCTGGGAATTCTCTTAACAGAAGCCTTTTAAGACAAGAGCTTGGTTTTTCATTTGATTTCACAGCAGCTCTGTTGGTGTAGAAAATAAAACCAAAACCAAGCAATTCCTCACAAGATATGTGGACACTACTAAACTCCGTATTTAGCTTTGCTTTCATGTGGCCCACTCTGTATGGGCAGAGCAAAGCTGATGACGGTAAAAGAGTATCTGATTTCCAGGATGAGTTTTATTTCAGTCCTCATGCTAAGGGAGGAGAGAACTCATTTCCAGCGACATACATTTGCCTTAGGACTCTAAACTAACTTGCAGCAGCCTGGAATGAGGGACTGTAGCGTTCCCCAGGAAATACTCCAGGTAATACATGCCATATACAGAATTTAGCTGTTACAAGCAGAACCATTTGGCTGACTCCTATTTTCAAGCTCATTTTACACGAGACAGAATGCAGTAAGGGCAACCTGAGTCTAACAAAGATAAAGGAAACTGCAGTAACAGCCCAACATACATACCTCTTCCTCTGTCATTGATTCTTCAACCCCTTCCTCTTCAACTACAAAACTCTCCTTCAGCTTCAGGTACTCTTCATACTCTCTCTTCTCCTCTTCTTCCTTTGCCTTCCTTTTTTCCTCTTCCTGAACAGAAAAGATGACAAGTGGTCAGTTTGCTCCTCCCCAAATCAGGTTTAGTTTCAAGTAAAGCAGCATCTCTATCTGCAGTCTGGTTTTACTAGGACAGCCAGCAGATAACAAGTTTCTGAAATGAGTCTAAGTTCTCCCTCGATGGCATCATTAATTTCAGAAGCCACCCTTAAGGCAGTAACCATCTCACGTGGTGGTGTAAGCTTGCACAGAATACACCTAGGCTGGTTCCTAACAGATCTGACAGAGGGGAGAAAACCACTCTTATATAGCAACCTGCTTTCTTAATTTGCATGAATATGTTTCTTTTGCAGATCCCGTGACAGGAAGTCCCTGCCCCTAACTGTACTTTGATGCAACACCCACATTTTCAGTCGCTGGCCCCAATTCTGCTCTGACATACACTAGAGTACATGGGGAGTGAGCACAAAGAACAGTGGAGTTACACTGGGGTCCATCTGCGTGCGAGAAGAAGCTGGCCCGTGAAAGCGTTTCAAGCCCAAACTCTTTCTTATGACATACAAGCAAATTATGTCTGCATGGAATGTAAAGAACTGAATAAAGTATTGGAGGCATAGGAGACAAGGTGTGGTTGTATTAAAGAAAGGTTTTTTTCACATGCTTGATTGTTAACCAAAGCCTACAGGCTCTGCTTTTAGTTATTTGCAATAAAAATACTTTATTACCTACCCTGAAAGAAACGTTGAAGTCTTAAAATAAATAAATAAATAATGCCAACCCAGAAAACTCCAAGCCTGACATCAGTGAAATCACAGAATCACAGAATCGCTTAGGCTGAAAAAGGCCTTTAAGATCATCAAGTCCAACCGTAAATGGTGATGCATGCTAGGTAATGTAGAACAGTCACGCATTTGCGCAGCAAAACTGTAATTCAAAGTTTTGGAATGGGATAGATTACTTAAAAAATGTTTTAAATAAGAAGAGGTTTTTACTGGGAGCTCATCAATTTGCAGCTTTCCGTGATTTTCTTTTAAACTTTGTTTTGCTCTTCTCCAAAACACTTTACACATGAAACTTCACACAGAAGAAAAATGTTTCCTTATACAATGGTTACCTTCTGCAGAGAAATGTATGTTTGGACAGCACGTGGTACAACGAGAGTCCAATTTGACTGGCCTCTGGTTGCTAACACATTGCAAAGGCCTGATTAAAACCGAGAAAGAGGGGTTCTTCAAACTTCAGTGGCGGTCCCTGGGCATCCCTTTACTACTAGCACAGGAATTGATCTCTTAAAGAACAACTGTATTGATTTCTAAATGTTTGCCATATTACATCTTTGACACTAATACGGTAATTGCTTCCTTAAATGGCTGGAAAGCAAACACTTGTTCCATTCAAACAGGAAGAGATGGGAACAGGTAATTAAGTATATTGAAAAACGTCCATATTAAAAAAGATGCCGTGTAAGGCTGAAAGCAGAAGGACACCAGAAACGGTCACGGGAAGGTTGCCCTTCAATAAAAACTGAAGAGAAACTGTATCTGGTCCCAGTTGTGTTTAATCAAATGCCCAGAAAGTCACAAGAAGGAATGCTGCCAACATACAAGTATGAGAAAAACAGGACTGAAAGGGTCTTACTGGACGTACAAAGTCAAAACTATTTTTTTAACCGTTATCTCATGAAAAAACCACAGATCTGAGGAAGATCTTGAGATAAGTCAAGACCATTTTCTGGGGCATTCATCACCGTAATGATTAGCAAAAGCCCAACATTAGATTTTTTTTTTTCCCTCATAAGCACTACAGGTGCCAAGAACAACATAACCGTATTTCATTTGGAAGTGACAGCAATTGTTCTTTTCTTGTAAGTGCATTAAATTTAATCTTGATCATGGACATACAAGAATAAGGTTCTTTCTCTGGTCCTTTAGAGAGGTTGTGATTCAACAGGATTTGAAATGAGAAGGAAAAAAACCACAAACCCTATAAATTGCTTTGGAAATAATTTCTAGATTGTTCTTAAAAAAATATTAAGAGAGAGTCCCATTTACAACTGAGAGCAACAACTGAGAAATATTTTCTTGTTTCTGGAAGGTCTAACAACAAATGAACAAGACTTGTTCCTGTCTTCCCTATCTACTTGAAGAACACTACCTCTGATGTGATTAAAGCATGCCAGGACATCAATATCAGTACTTCCATTTCCAACATAGGCAGAAAAGCATCTCTGCTGTGAGACCTGCACAGCACTTGGCTACCAGTCCCTCTTCTGCAGCCTCCCTAAAAGCCGACATGAGGTTGTTTTCCAGATCCTAAATTTTCATGCTACGATCAGCAGAGCATTTCCAGATGGTCTGAGCCACTGCTTTGGGAGTGTCAGCCCTCAAAGCCTCCTGTTTCTGGTGGTTGTAGCCTCCTCCGTAACACTAAGTATTTCCAGAAGCTTTTTCACCTAAGAACTAAAAATCCCAGCCACTTCCTGCAGAGTCTCCCATCCTTTACTACCCAAATCCACCTATGATTCAATCTGTAGAAAAAGAAGGATTTAGCCAAACTGTAACCTAGTTCAAAGCCAAGAGGAGAGATGACTTTGTATAACCGGACTGGGAGAAGTGACCAGGAATAGCTGAGCAGGGGGGACCCCAGCTAAGTCAGGCGCCTGTTAACACTGATTCTCAGCTAATTTTTTCACCACCATGCTAGCACTGTTCTTTCACACGCCCAAGTCATGCAGCAGTTGCAAGGTAGGTGCAGGGTAAAATTTAGGCAGGTTGCATTCCCACAAAAACCAGTCTGTCTGTATGCATAACCCACCCACGGAAACATTCTCAGCACCCCAGGGTCTACTAATGGAACCGAGACCAGTACCTGCTTCGTGCAAGTCATACAGGGGGCACTCAGCTCAAATATAAATTAAAAAAAATCTCACATCTTTGTTCGTCAGGTTTCTTTGCCTCTTGCCATTCTGATCTCATTATCTGCTGTGGAGTTAAGTGGTAAAGCATGTGGCTCAGAGGAGAGATAATAGCTGGGCCACCTCCCTTCAGCAATGGGTGGGGTGGTGGGGAAATCCCAGCATCATGGAAATTTGGTAACTGCAGATGCTCACCTTCAGCTGCTTGCTTGCTTTTTTTTTTTTGAAGCAGGTTTGCTTCTCTCCTCACCCACCTAAATGTTCACTGCATGTGAAGAACACTCCCACTTTGATCATGTCTTTATTGAAAAAAAAAAAAAATGTAATCACTCAAACCTTTCTTCTTCCTCTCCTTTTTCTGACAAAAAGTCCACATTATTGCTGCTCATTGACTCCACCTCTTCATGCTCGCTGTGAGTGTCACGTGCCACCTTGCACGGCAGAGACCTGAGAGCTCCCAGAGCTCCATGCAGCCCGTGGATCTCCAGCACTCTGGGAGACACTTTTCAACACCCTTACCCCTTCCTATACCAGATCTGATCTGTACTGACCTCCCACTGCACCCAGTCCCAGTCCTTCCACTGCTCTCCAGGCTCCCTCTGTCCCATCTGCCCCACCAAGGACCTGGATTTGCTTTGAGGCTCCTTTCAAATCACTACCTTTTTGTTCGCATCGTACCTCGATCACAATGATTACTTCCATGACAACAAAAATATTAATTGTGCCAACTGCACAAGAGCCCAGTCTTTTACCAGCTGAAACCCACAGCATCTTGAAAACTCTTTTAGACTTAGAGCTGGAAGCAGACCTTGACCCTTGGGATCATAAATCCCTCTGGAGTCCTGGGATGCTGCTTGAGTAACTGCCCTGTTCTGGCTGGTTGCCAGATTGCAGCCTTTGAAGGTTTATCGTGCATTACTATTTTTAGTAAAGGGTGAGGACCCTTACAGTACTGTCCAGCAAGAAGATACTGAACCACGGTTTCTAGCTTTCACTGCAGTAACCCAGTTAAGGTGACACTGAGACTAAGCGATATTGGCCTAGAGAGTAAGTAGCTTTTCTGAGAGCTTTGCCTAAGCAGCTTTTCCCGGAGAGGAAACTGCTAGTTGTGTGCTGTGCCATCTCTCCTCCAAATCAGATAAAGGACCAACTTGCTGACAAACAAATCATTTATAGGCAGCTTATTTGACTGCTAAGTAGAAGAGATCTCATTGCTAGTGAGGAAGGTAGAGCAAACACTGCACTCTCTTCAACCACCACCTGCTGCCGGTCGTTCCTTGTTTGTGGCCGTTTCCTTCACATGCAGAATGAGAAAAGGATACTGGATCCTATGCCAAGTGCTTTGAGGTTCCTGGACTAAAGAAAACCTCCTTGTATAACATCCAGTTTTCGTGCTGTTAGTGCAGGTTCTACTGGAAAGGCACTTTACAGTACATAATTCGGCAAAGAGCAGATGGATCTCTAGGATTCCTCACTGTTTAGACACAAAATAAAAAAATACCTTTAGAAAGACAGAATAAGTGTTCTTACCAGTCCTCATCCGCTCAAAATCAGAGTAAGAATGAGTTTTCTGCAAACTTTTCAACTCATACTTCCTTAGGAGAAATTAGTTTTCAGGAAAGTATATACACCTGAAAAATGATGTTAAACTGAAACTAGACAGTAGTCTCCATCAGCCGCCAGAAATCCACTGTTTATGTATCAATAGAGGATATAAATGCCAAACAGATACTGAAAAGCTCTGCTGAGAAGCACACAAATCTCGATGTTCACATAATGCTACACAAAATAACTCAGCAATCAACATTTTAAGACTCGGTGCCTATTTTTACATGATCAAATATCGAATCAAAGAGCCCAAACTTTAGGGATTTCATTCTCAAAAGGTTCAAAAGGACCCTTGGGATCACTTGCCCATCCTCCATTTCTATAGCTCTGAAGACCCAGACCATTTGTATTCAGACACTTAAATGCAAAATTGAAAGCCTGAATAAAATTGCCCTAGTTTGGAAACTTCGGGCACAGCTGGGCTCGAGCAATACAGATCTTGTTTTAATGTAACAGCGAACAAACACCAGTCGCCACTCCTGCTGTGGCCTTTTATTTCACAACAGCTAAA